ACGCACACACGCACACACGCACACAAGCACACAAGCACACAAGCACACAAGCACAAAAGCACACAAGCACACAAGCACACAAGCACACGCACGCACGCACGCACGCACGCACGCACGCACGCACGCACGCACGCACGCACGCACGCACGCACACACGCACACAGACACACAGACACACACGCACACAGGCACACAGACACACAGACACACAGACACACAGACACACAGACACACAGACACACAGACGCACAGACACACAGACACACAGACACACAGACACACAGACACACAGACACACAGACACACAGAGACACACAGAGACACACACAGACACACACACACACATACACACACCGCGCGCGCGCAAGCGCGCGCGCGCACTCACGCACGCACGCGCGCACGCGCGCGCGCACGCACGCGCGCGCGCACGCACGCACGCACGCACGCACGCACGCACGCACGCACGCGCGCGCGCGCACGCACGCGCGCACGCACGCACGCGCGCGCGCACGCGCACACGCGCACACGCGCACACACCCTCACCCACACCCACAAAACACACAAAACACAACACACACAACACACAACACACACACAACACACAACACGCACAACACACAACACACAACACGCAACACACAACACACAACACACAATACACAACACACAACACACAACACACACACATACACATACACATACACATACACATACACATACACATACACATACACATACACATACACATACACATACACACACGCACCCATACCCACAGGGGGATCCGACGAAGGAGGACGTGCTATGGATACGGGTCAGGCGATCGCAAACATGGATCAAGAGGGCGTGGATTAGAGACGGGTCCCGTTTCCACGAGAAATCGCAGATAACCGCCGCCGGACGAGGCGGCACGGGCCGCATTTTGTGGAGGGCGCCTCCCCCGATCCATGGATTTGGCGACCGCATCGCGCGCCAAATCGATTGATTGCTAATCCATATTTGCGCGCCCCCGAAGATGGGTGCGGCTTGTCGAACCGCGGGGGAGGTTCCCGTTTGAGTGGGGAACCCCATCCTACAGCATGCACCCATGGCACCTCCCGTCCCCTTATCATAGATCTGGGTGTGTGTTGTTCGTTCGTCGCCTAACTTCACCGTCTCCCGCCCCCTGTCTCGTCTCCCTCTCTCCTCCCCCTCGCTCTCCTCCGCTTTCTTCGTTCCTGCTGCCGCTCCCCGTTCACCTCCTCCTCTAGTTATGTCCTCGTCGCCGCGTCCTCCGACTCTCTCCGCGGCCAGTTTTGGCTCGAGGGGTCAAGTTGTGCATTCGGCCTAGCGCTCGTCAGGGGCCACGTTGGTGGAGGTCATTGGCGAAAGACATTTTTTTATTGGCCGAGGATTGGAGCCGCATGGTAAGCCAGTTTCGACAGTGCGTTTTAAACAAAATCTAAAACACGACCCTGCCCACGACAGCTCCTGAGGCCCGCTTGGCGGGGCCTCGGGCGAGGTGGTGGGGGTGGCCTGCTCGTTGAGCTTCGCGCCGAAGACGCTGATCTTCAGCGTCGAGGCGCGCCACTTCCGTGGGTGGAAGTGGGCGACAATGCTCTAAGACCCATTCGCGGCACCTCGGGCGCCGACAATCGGACAAATGAGACAGCAGTCGGAGCCGTTGTTGGAAGTTTGTTTTACAGCAAGGGCACGCAGGCGACGACAGATATGTCCGAATCACTGCTCGCTCACCATGCTTGGCACGTCGATGACTGCGCAATGCACGCTCCGACGCGAACGAGGCGCTACACTGCGTGCGCGTCCACGTGACATGCTGGGAGGCAGGGGGGGGGGGTCATGGGAGGAGCGGGATCACGCATAGACTCCACGAAATCTAGCGATTTACTGAATCGCTCCACGCACGCTCATCCTGCAGCAGCTGTTCCCGCCGCTGGGGGTCTTCAAAGGGGGCGGGAAAGTCTGGGGGCATGACCGCCCGACGCAACAGAGCAGCATCATCTAACAAGCGCTGCGCCCATGGGAGAAGCTTGTCTTTTTCCTGCACGTGGAGGAGGGCGAGGACTCGAGGGCGATTTCGCACAAGCCTCCCCCAGAGCAGCAGACGGCCACGGCTGATCGAACAATCAATGGACGGCTGCTTAAATTGCTCACGCACCTCACGATCGTTACATTTCACATGAGTGGAAAACCGAGAGTCGCCAAGGAGACGGCGCAGGACTCGCATGTGTGAATGTGCGAGCTTAGTTGACATGCGTATATTGTGCACATGTGTATGCGCTCGCATGCCGATGGCGTTTCTTCCCAAATTGTCTGTGCGTTCAGGTGCACGTTTCAGCCTTTGGCATCGCGGCTGTGTTAAGCCCTCGCTGCAGGTAAAACGCATCATTTACATTGGTAGCCGGAGCCTGTGTGTTTCGGTCAGCGCTACGTTCACACTCTGCGCCGACCTGCAGCGCGCGCCATGGCGGCTCGCGCATGGAGGTCCCCCGACCGTGGCCGTGCGGATCGGGCTCCGCCTCCACAGAGGCACGACGACGACGACTTCGAACAGCTCGACGAGGAGGAGGCGGAGGACTACGAGGCGGCGCCCGAGACACCCGTCGGAGGCGCCGACAGAGACGGCGGCGGCACGCGAGACAACCTCCCCATCCCGATCTTCGACGGGAGTGGCCTGCGCGACTTCTCGCGGCGCGTCGACGCCTGGCAGCTGGCGACCTCCCTCAGGTCCGAGCGTCGCGGCCCAGCGCTCTACGCTAGGCTGCAGGATGATGCTTGGGCCGCCGTCGAGGACATCGACATGCAGAGGCTCGCCGAGCCAGGAGGGCTCGAGTTTCTGATGCTCGAGCTCAAAGACCGCTTTGAGGAGCAGGAGATACTGCGACAAGGAGATGTGCTGCATGAGTTCTTTGTCCTGCTCGAAAGGCGGCCCCAGGAGCAGATGCGCACGTTCAAGAGGAGGTTCAACACTCTCGTGCATCGCCTGGCCAAGTTCGCCGTGACGTTGCCCGCGATCGTGCTCGGATGGATCTTTTTGGAGAAGCTGCGGCTGCCGAGCGATCGACGTGCGATGGTGTTGGCCAGTGCGAACAACGATTACGATTTCAAGGTGATGTCCGCGGCGGCCGAGAGAAATTGCCCAAATGTTGCTGAGTTCGACCGACCAGGCAGCCGCGGACAAGATCAGACATTCAAGCCCAAGAAGTTTCAGAGGTTCGCCCCACGAGGTGGGCAACATCGTGCCATGCACGCCGAGCCCGACGACGAGGAGGTGCACGACCCAGTCCAGGACTACCTGCGCGACCTGGACGAGGACGAGCACCAAGCCGTGGAGTCTTTCTTGGCGAACGGTGGAGACCTCACCGACCTCCCGGGCCTGGATGAGTTCGAGGATGACGCTGGCGACCAGGGGCCCGGTGACGACCAGGATGAGACCATGGCGGCGCTGGCGGAGGCGTACGTGGCAGGTTTTCGTGAGAGCAACAAACGTTTCCAGCAGAAGGATAAGTTTCGAATTAAGTTCACGAGTGCAAAGTTCAAAATGAAGGAATTCAAGAACCAGCGGGGCTACCCTCCGCCATCAGCGCCGCATCAGGTTCAACGAGACCCCAAGAGGCAGAAGGAGATTGACGACTTGAAGAAGAATTCAGTCTGCAAGGCCCGCGACCAGCGAGGGCACCGGAAGGGCGACCCTGAGTGCCCCAAGACCCGTGGAGGAGGACCGCCCTCGTCGGGAGCGCGCAAGCCGATGTTGGCAATCCATGACAGCGGCTGTGCGGAGGCGGAGCCGCACAAGGTCATGACAGCGACGAGTTCGAGGGCGACGACGACGGCCAGGAGCGCACCCGAGCCTATTGGCGAGAAGAAGCCGAACACTAGCTCGGGTTCTACTCTTTCCTGACCCTCTCGTTCCCGGTGTTCATCTTCGCCTCCTTCGAGGAGACGCGGAGGCGCGTCGGGTTCGCGATCTATGACAGCGGCTGCGCCAGGGGCGTGATGGGCTACAACGTGCTGAAGCTGTGGGCGGCGCTCTTGAGGCGCTGCACGCGTGGCCTAAGGTACCAGCGGGTCGACGAGAAGGAGCGGTTTCGGTTTGGAGCTGGCGACCCGGTCTGGAGCACCTTTGCATCGCTGATCCCGATATGTGTTTCACATCGTATTTCGGGCATTCTGCGAGTCTGCATTGTGCCGGGCGACCTGCCGCTGCTCTTTTCGAGGCCAGCGGCGAAGCAGCTCGGGATCCGCGACGACCCGAGGACCAGCGCCTTCAGTTTTCCCGAGGAGCTGGGCGTGCCACCCGTGCCGGTCACAGAAGCTGACTCCCAGCATCCGCTGCTCAACTTGTTTCAGTTCCCAGCAGAAGGCTGGGTGGCGCCGCCAGGGGCAGTCTTGGGCGAGACGGCGCCAGAGATTCAATATCATAGTCAAGATCATCATCATGATCGTCAGCCGTCTCATCGCCAGGTTCAGCATCCAGAGGTGCCGGGCCAGGTCCAGGACATCAAGCAAACGCTCATGGTCTACAAAAACGAGCAGCAGCAGCACGATATTGAGCAGCAATACGAAGCCCTGGAGCAGCAACAGCATGATAAAGCAGATCAGCATCGCCAAAATGGAGATCGAGCTTATCAAAATGCAGATCGAGCTTATTAAAATGCAGAGCGAATTTATCAAAACGGAGGTCGAGCCAGACAACATGCAGAGCAGTATCAAAACAAGCAGCAAGCAAACGTTCGAGATGGTCAAACGTGTACATCGACTTCCGTAGCCCCAGGCTCAAATCAACCTCTCAGGATGTCAAATTTCATGTTCCATATCAGTTTGACTCTCTACGGCACATGCCGGGCCATATTCAGAAGCGACCAGATCCTCGGCGGGCACGGTGGCGCTTCGCCCAGATGATGATGGATGCGGCCCAGGCTCTCATGGCACCCATGCGCGGCGTAATGATCAGCATGGGCTACCGGAAGTGTATCATCTCGAGGTTGACTCATGTGAGACCGATTCGGAAGGGGATCACTCAGATGACGAAGGCGGAGTTGCGCGCGGAGCTGCTGACCATAGGAGTGGATACCTCGGGGGGCGAGACGTGTGCAGCCCTGCGGGGAAGCCTGCGAGCCACTCGACCGCCCGAGGAGGCAAAACACCAGAAAGGGGGCCCCCGGGGCAACGCTGGCGTCGGGATTCAGCAAGCTCAAGAAGCCCGAGGCCATCGCTTTCTGCCAGGCTGCAGGCATCGCGTTCGACGGGGCGGCGGACGCCCTGAAGCTCAGGATCGAGGCGTGGGCAGCAGCAGAAGGTCCGATGCCATCAAGCGCCGTCTCCGCGATGTCCTTGCTGGGTTCGGCTACTCCTTCGAGAAGGTCCGTGCAGTCGAGCAGCGCAGGGCCGCCCCCGAAGGCAACTCCAAGCACACCTCCCATGGCGAGGGAGATCCAGGCCAAGGTCAAGAAGCGAGGTCCCCCGAGTACGTCATCTCACATGAGCCTGGACACCAAAGAAGATCGCTTGGCAAGGATTCGGACGGCACCGACTCGGACAGCAGTGACGACGCCAGTCCCGGCGGCGGAGGTGGACTGGGACCCGGGCCAGGACCTCGCGAGGGTCGACGAGGAGAGCGACGAGTCCGAGCTGAGCGAGGCGGAGACCGAGTCGAGCGCGGCCGAGACCGACCAGGACAAGGAGCTGATGAACCACCTCGATCTCGGTTCCCAACTGGTCAGGTGAAGCGGCCCCTGCGCCGCGGGATGAAGAAGCGCGTGATTAGCGGGCTTCGTGGCGCTCTGACTTCGTGGGCGCTGCCAGCTATGTGCCTCGCGGCGACCATCGGCGAGTCGGCTGGCCTCAACCTTGCCAGCTTCGCCAAGGTCGCGGGGGAGCCCGCCGCCGAGGAGGTCCGCGTCGCGGTCGACGAGGACGGCGCCAAGATCTGGGGTGGCAAGGCCGCGGCGTCGCGCGAGGCCGCCCGTCGAGGTTTTCGTGTCGGCCAGCCCTGGGACATCGAGCGCGGTGACGATCTCAAGAAGCCGAATGTTCAGCAGCTGCTGATCGACTTCGTGGATCGCGAGAAGCCAGACTGCCTGGTGCTCGAGCAGACATGCAGGATTTGGAGCCACATGCAGGACCTCGTGTTCAAGGGGGACAAGCAGCGCCTGCGGCGGGCGCGGGTGAAGGAGCTGCCGACGCTGAAGTTAGTCGAGAAGCTCTTCGGGCTGCAGTACGAGGGCGGGCGCATGGCTGTGCTGGAGCGCCCGTGGCTGGGGCAGTCTTGGAACGAGGGCCCTTGGAAGAGGCTCAGACAACTGCCAGGCGTGGTCGAGTTCCAGACTGATGCGCGCGCGCACGGCCTCACCTGCCCTCAGACCGGGGAGGCAGTCAAGAAGCCTACGAGGATATTGGCGACTCACGCACCTTCCGAGAAGCACTGCGGCTTGCGGTGCACAGAGGACCACGACCACGCGGAGCTGAAGGGCTATGGCAGTAAGGGCATCTCCTGGAGCCAGGTCTACACCAAGGACTTCAGTCGGCGCATCGTCGATGCGTTCGAGGAGGTGCGCAACAAGAGCTACCAGGCCATGGCGGCGGACGTCGACGACGAGGGCGACGAGGCACCCGAGGAGGAGCCCATGGGCTCCAGAGCGATCTCGTTCGGGGAGAAGGCTGGCATTCTGCCGCTGGAGGTTCGATCTCACCTTCGACGCCTTCACCAGAACCTCGGGCATCCCTCGAACGACGACCTGGCCAGGAAACTGAGGCTCAAAGGCGCGGACGATGCCCTCGTCCGCGGCGACGAGCACCTGCGCTGTGCTGCGTGCAACAGGACCAAGCCTGCTGCGGGATCTCATCGAGTCTCTCGCCTGTCGCCCGTCGGCGGCTTCAATGACGAGCTGGGCGTCGACGGTCTCTACCTTCGGAACGCGCGCGGGAAGCCCTACCTGTTCCTGTCGCTCGTCGAGGCCTCCACGACGTACCACGTCGCACGCTACTTGAGGAACAGGAAGCCAGCCACCGTGGCTAAGGTCTGCCGAGAGCTGTGGCCGGCTGGACCGCCTAGCGTGGTCAGGCTCGACCCAGGCGGCATGTTCTACACCGAGTTTCAGGAGGCCATGGACATGATGGGGGTCCGCGTCAAGGCCGTGGCGGGCCAGGCGCAGTGGCAGAACGGCCGCATTGAGCGGCATGGCGGCTGGCTCAAGCTCATGGTCAACCGCGTCGTCGAGCACAAGTCAGTCACGAGCCGCGGTGACCTTGTGACCGCCGTCTGGGAGACCTGCCAGGCCAAGAGCGACATGCGTCGGGTCTGCGGCTTTTCACCGTCGCAATGGGTGTACGGATGCTCGCCTACCACGTCTGCCGACCTGATCGATCGGCCTGGCCAGAGTGCAGAGCACAGCATGCATCGCGTGTCCACGGAGCTCGCCAGGAGGATGGCTATCCGCACGGCTGCGCGGACGGCCTTCGTGGAGCTGCAGAATAGTCAAGCGCTCCGTCGAGCACTCTTGCGGAAGCCGAGGGTCGCACGCATCAACTACCAGAACGGGGACCTGGCGTTCTACTGGCGGCTGCGCAAGGGGGCGAAGCTCCACGAGTGGCGAGGCCCAGCCGTCGTCATCGGCCCAGCGGGAGCGTCCAACTTTTGGCTCTCGCATGGTGCTGGGGCAGTGCAAGTTTCTCACGAGCAGCTCCGACCCGCTGAGGATGAGGAGATCTGGTGGCCCGGTCAGGGCGACGATCCCAACATCGAGGAGCTGAACGAACTCATCCGCCAGGTCGAGAAGGAGGACCAGCCAGAGTACGACGACGACCGAGGGCGGGGACCGCGTGAAGCGGAAGAGAAGGCCCAACCTCTACAGCGGAGAGAAGGCCAGGGCCTCGGGGACACCCTCGAGGAGCAAGCGAGAGAGTTGGAGCTGGAGATCGAGGAGATCGAGAGGGACACGCGCCCGGCTGACGCTGCCGAGCGCCGGGATGACGAGCCGCCCCGCAAGCGGCAGGAGGCAGCGGCGTCATCGGTTCCCGCGTCATCGACCCGCGCGGAGCCTCCCGCGTCGACAGCGACGCCCTCTCAGCCAGCTCTACCCGAACAAGGGGCTCCATACGCGAAGGAGGAGTTCAAGAAGCGTCGGGCGGCTTTACAAGCCCGGCAGAGCCAGGTGTTCCGTCCGTTCCCCGTCGGACCGCTTCAGCACCCAGGCGATCATCCAGAACAACCCGTTCACTTCGCAAATTTCAGTTTCGGCCTGATCGCGAAGCGGAGCTGGAACACGACTAGGCTGCAACGTCGAGCGCTGGAAAAGGAGATGCCATGGGACATGATTCCAGCCAGCGACCGCCCCCTCTATCGCGAGGCGGCCGAGTTGCAGTGGAAGCAGTGGGAGAATTACGACGCCGTCGAGCCGCTCTCAGTCGAGGAAAGTCAGAAGTGTCGTGAGCGAGTCCACCAGAGCCGCATCTTGACGTCGAGGTTCCTCTACCGGAACAAGAACGCTGGAGTCAAGGACGCGCCGCCCAAGCCGAAGGCTCGGCTGTGCTGTGGTGGCCACAACGACGCGGACCTCACGATGGCTCAGGACCGACGCACCGACCGTGTCGAGGCATTCGGTGCTCACCTTCCTGGCAGTGGCGGCGGCGTACGATTTCGATATCGTGGCCGGCGACGTCGAGTGTGCCTTCATGCAGGGCGAGGAGCACGGGCGCGCCGAGGAGCTCTACATGTCTCAGCCCAAGGAGGGCCTGCCGAACATGGACCCTCGGTGCCTCCTGAAGGTCAAGAAGGGCATCTTCGGGCTTGCGGATGCGCCGCGGCTGTGGTGGCGACGTCTGCGTCGGGGCCTGGTCGAGGCGGACTTGAACGACGAGGATGTCAAGCCCATCCTCATGATGCAGTCCCGGCTCGACCCGACGGTGTTCCGCGGCTTCAACGAGGACGGCAGGCCGTGTATCTTGGTCTGCGTACATGCTGACGATCTCCTCGTAGCCACGAAGTCGCAGGCCCTACGTCAGGGAGTTCGAGGTCTCTTCAACTTCGGCGAGTGGCGTCACGTGCCTGTGGTGTTCTGCGGGAAGCTGCTGCAGGCGGACCCAGAAGGAGGTTTCCTGCTGGACCAGTCGACCTTCGTCGAGGGCAGGCTCGAGCCGATCGAGATCGACAAGGCCCGCAAGCGCGATCCGAGCCTGGAGTGTAATGCCCGCGAGATCGCGGACAATCGCAGTGTAGTCGGCAGTTTGGGATGGCCAGCTCGAGAGACGAGACTGGACCTGTCGTGCACGGTATCTATGGCCCAGCGCAAGCAGAATGCCCCCTGCATCCAAGACCTGCTGGACGTCAACAAGGCCATCGGAGTGCTGCAGAGCTCGGCCAGCGAGAAGTTTCACATCCCCAAGCTGGACGTGGAGTCCCC